GTCACTTCCGGTTTTCTGGTGGTTAATTGGAGATAAGAGTCTCACGGACTTCCCTGCCTGGGCTGGCTTTGAATTGGGATCCTCAGATGTTAGCCTCCTGAGTAGCTAGAGTTATAGGCATGAGCCACCAGTGCCTGGCTCTTTTATTGTGGATCCCTACCTGGTTTGGGGATGGGTATAATGCTGGCTTCATAAAATGTGTTAGATATCTATCCTTCCATTTCTATTTCATGGAAAAGTTTGAGGAGTACTTGTGTTAGTTCTTCTTTAAAGGTCTTCTAGAATTCAGCTGTGAATCCATCTGGAACTAGACTTTTCCTTGTTAGGAGACTATTACTTCCCTCATCTCATTGCTTGTGATGGGTCAGTTTAAGTGTGGTTTATATCTTCTTGGTTCAGCTTAGGCAGCTCATTTGTCTCTAGCAATTTGTCTATTCCTACTAGATTTTTCATCTCATTTGAGCATAGGTTTTGAAAAATAGTCCCTCATAATCTTTTGGATTTCTTGATGTTTGTTGTTATGTTTCCTTTTTCATATCTAATTGGTTGGTTTGGATCTTTACTTCCCTTAAAAAATTTTTTTTGTCAGTCATGGGGCTTGAACTCTAGGCCTGGGCGCTATCCCTGAGCTCTTCAACTCGAGCTAGCACACTTGAGCCACAGCGCCACTTCCGGCTTTTTCTGTTTATGTAGTACTGAGGAATCGAGCCCAGGGCTTCATGCATGTGAGTCAAGCCCTCTACTACTAGGCCACCTTCCTAGCCCCCTTTTTAAATTTTTGGTCAAATTAGCTAGGAGTTTGTCAATCTTACTAATCTTTTCAAAGAACTAGCCTTTTGTTTCTTTGATACTAGTCTATAACTCATTGATTTCTGCCCGAATCTTTACAATCACTCTGCATCTGTTTAGTACTTTGAGGTTCGGTTTGTTCCTGTTTTTATAGAAGTTTTAGTTGAGATTATTTACTTGAGCAATTTCTGTTCTTTTTTTTCTTTTTTCTTTCTTTCCTTTTTTTAAATTTTTTTTTGGCCAGTCCTGAGGCTTGAACTCAGAGCTTAGGTGTTGACCCTAGCCTCTTTATGCGAGGGCTCTACCATTTGAGCCACAGCACCACTTCCGGCTTTTTCTGAGTAGTTGATTGGAGATAAGAGTCTCACAGACTTCAATACCTAGGCTAACTTTGAACCACAATCCTCAGATCTTGGCTACCCCAGTAGCTAGGATTACAGGTGTGAGCCTGTAATCCACAGCCTTTCCTGCCAGTGAATTTCTATTCTTTTTCTCAACACTGCTTTTTCTATATCCAAGAGGTTCTGGTATGAACTGTTTTATTTTCATTGGAGTATAGGAACATTCTCAGTTCTTCCTTTGATTTCTTCAGTGAACATACTATACAACAGTTCAATCTCTATGTGTTTGAGCTGTCCCTCAGCTCTTCAGCTCAAGGTGAGCACTCTACCACTTGAGCTACAGCGCCACTTCGGGTTTTCTGGTGGTTTATTGTAGATAAGAGTTTCACGTCCTTTCCTGCCAGGGCTGGCTTTGAACCACGATCCTCAGATCTCAGCCCCCTGAGTAGCAAGGATTACAGGCGTGAGCTATTGGTGCCGGCGAGACTTTTATCTTTAATTAGCCACCAGAAAACTGGAAATGGTGGCTCAAAGTGGTAGAGCACAACACACACACACACAGTGGCTCAAAGTGGTGGAGCATAATCTTGAACAAAACACACACACACACACCCGGCTCAGAGATAGTGCCCAGGCCCTGAGTTCAAGTCCCATAACTGACAAAAATTTTTTTTTTCATGCCACTTCGTTGTTTTCCTGTTGCTTGTTTCCTCCTTCTTCTCCTTTCACTAAACTAGTCTTCTAGTGATTTTTTTTTTGGGGGGGTCGGTCATGGGGGTGCTTAAACTCAGGGCTTGGGTACTCTCCCTGAGCTGTTTTTGCTCAATACTAGTGCTCACCACTTTTAGCCAAAGCACCAGTTCTAGTTCTCTGATGGTTAATTGGAGATATGAGTCCCACAGCCTTTCCTGCCTGGGCTGGCTTCAAACTCTGATCCTCAGATCTTAGCCTCCTGAGTAGCTAGGATTACAGGTATGAGCCACTGGTACCCAGTGATTTATTTTATTTTATTTTTTTGCTGGTTGTGGGGCCTGAACTCTGGGCCTAGGTGCTGTCCCTCAGCTCTTCAGCTCAAGGCTAGCACTCTACCCCTTGAGCCACAGTGCCACTTCCGGCTTTTTCTGCTTATGTGTTCCTTCCTTCCTTCCTTCTTTCCTTCTTTCCTTAATGCTGCATAAACCCAAGGCCTTGAGGGTACTAGGTAAAGTGTTTAAACATGAAGCTACATCCCTAGCCTTTCCTTTTTTTTTGATTTTTGTTTTTTTGTTTCAGTCCTAGGGCTTGAACTCAGGGCTTGGACTGGTGCGCTACCACTTAAGCCACATCTCCACTTCTGGCTTTTGTAGTTTATTTTATTTATATATATATATTTTTTGGGGGGGGTCTGGTAGTGGGCCTGAACTCTGGACTTGGGCGCTGTCCCTCAGCTAAAGGCTAGCTCTACCACTTGAGCCACAGTGCCACTTCTGGCTTTTTTCTTTTTGCTTATGTGGTGCTGAGGAATCGAACCCAGGGCTTCAGGCATGCAAGGCAAGCACTCTACCACTGAGCCACCTTCCAAGCCTGGCAAGCCTCATATCTTATTTAATATTATCACAGTGTGGATTAAATGTCATCAGGTATTTTAAATGATTGTAACAATTTAAATAATCATAACAATTCTATGAGACCCATTCAATTTGTTATCATATTAATGCAAAACTCAAGAAGATATATACCTGGAAAGCTTACCTCAACAACCTACTGAATGGGGCATCCCAGAGTTTGGCATTTACATGTGTGTGATCTATTCCTAGGTCAATTGTGTTTACTCACATCCTGGCACCACACAATGCCTGGGGAACATGCAGGATAGCCAATGTCAGAACATGAGGAGGAAAACTACAGTACTTATTCAGTCCAAGAGGTGGAGAATTTATCCTAATGTTATGTCATCTGTTACAAAAAAAATTACATGTCTCCATTCAAAAATGTAAATATAAATCTAACCCTCATACGTAACAAATGATATAACATTATATTTAAAATCCTGAATAAGGGCTGGGAAGGTGGCTCAGTGGTAGAGCGCTTGCCTTGCATGCATGAGGCCCTGGGTTCGATTCCCCAGCACCACATAAGAAAAAGAAAACAAAGAAAAAAGAAAGAAAGAAAATCCTGAATAATTTGTAAAACATTAATGCTAAGTTAGATGTTTAGGTTACAATCCTATAAAGGGACTTTATTACAGCGCAGTCAAACTGACTTATGGCCTAGGAAAAATGCAACCATACTGACTCTCCCTTCCTTCATAGACAGCAACACTTTTTGCCCAGGATGATAGATTCCGGAGAATGTTTGGTGCTGATTAGCCATGATAGCAGGCTTACCTGTAGGCCATTCTCATAAATACACTTGTTGAACTCCTACTGTCTGAGCTTGGCCATTTCTTTTCTATTTTTTTTTTGGGGGGGTCCGGTCGTGGGGCCTGAACTCTGGGCCTGGGTGCTGTCCCTCAGCTCTTCAGCTCAAGGCTAGCACTCTATCACTTGAGCCACAGCGCCA